AGAGGGTGGGGCATTAAATTAAAATATTAATCAATTAATTTAGAATTTTGTTCCAACAGATCCATTGTTACTTGAAATATTTTCCAGTTCACTCTGCAACAAATTGATTTCAAAGTGTATTGCAGTTCAGCCACCGGAAGTCATTACTTAATTAGACATTTTGTGGTTCAAGGGACTGTCGGCAATAGATGGTCTGATGAAACACCATCACCTGAATCAGACTCCTCCATCTGGGCAGAAAGGAATACTCTTCACTGCGATTTTTAAAAAGTGATGGCTTGAGGCCAAAAGATGAAAAAAGCAGACCTTACTTGGCCATTACTTGCCTTTGATTGTAATACAAATTACTACTTTTGTGTATTTTGCAGCATCTCTGCACTGTCAACAGAAACTAGATGAGAAAATATTTCTGTAGTGTTTTTATTAATGAGGTTGTTGCTGCTGTTTCAAATTAAGAGTAACAAACCCTACCTAAAATAATAAAGGGACTTTTCAGGTAATGTCACTGCTGACCAGTTTCAGATTTGCACTCCATTTCAGATGTGCCAGAGTGGTCATCTATGCATTGTGTAAAGGTACTGCAACTATAAAGACAATCAATCAGTTGGGGATTAGTTTGATTCCAGGATCAAAATCTGGATGGTCAAATCCTCTTATATGTTGTAGTTCAGTGTGATGGTAACGTTACTACTACTGGTAGAAGGGAGAAGAGGTCTGCTCAGGTATTAGAGGAGGAACAGCAGCGAAAGCGGATTAGGGAGATAATCATGGCCCCAAGTGATTCTGAGACATTTGAGCGCTTCTCCGATTGTGAAATGGGGGATGGGGAGGAGAGCAGGGGAGTAAAGCGGGCTACTCGCGATCAAGAGCCCGATGAGGAGCTTCAGAGGAAGCGTATCCGGGAAATACTTAGCGCTCCTACAGAGGACGAGGATTTCATGGGGTTTGAAAGGAGTGATGGGTCTGGGAGTGATATGGGAGAGGAGGATGAGCTGGATATGGACCCGTGTTCAAGAGATTAGGGACATTTGTAACCAACCCACCCCCAGTGATGAATTTGAGTGGTTCACAGGGGATTGGCAACCGGGGAGCACTTGGCAAGACCTAAGTCTTGACAGACGCTGGCAGAGGTGGAGAGATGGGTGCTCGGGTTCAGCTGCGGGGATGGAGGCAGCTGAGAGCGATGAGGAAAGGGTGGGAGCTCATCATCCTCTAATGAGGAGCTTTAGGATAAAAGTGGGTTTTAGTTGTATGGCTCTTTGCAGAAGGCAAAGTGTCTCTTTTGGGATGTGAATCTTTGTAACTACCAACTCTCGAGCTTGGGTCCTTGGACTACAGATTCCTGTGTTGCTGTGTTCCCGTGTTTACCTTTACTCAACGGCTTGACTACAGACCGGTTTGACCAACGCTTTTGTCTCTTGCATCGTTTTGGGACTCTGTTTTTCATCTCCTGTGACTGTGTTTTTGAATTGTGTGAACTTTAAAGCAAATTGCTGAACTTTTCTGTTAACCCGGATTAAACAGCGATATAATCCGGGTTATATTTTTGTTGTTAGTATCGCTTCGTTTTTGATGCCAAATTACTGCCTTAGTTCACTGCACTGAAGTTAAGTGCTTTAAAAAACTCTTTTTGTGTAATAAAGCTGTGTTTGAACCTCTTATCTTGTGTTTGGCTCTACTTAAGGCTTCTACTTAAGGCTTTACTACACCATATATGATGGTGTAGTAAAATGGTAAAATAAAGGTTTGACTTTAAAAATATTTTCAAGTTGGGGGTGCAGAATATATATAAACAGAGAGCCAACTGTATATCTGCTTCTTTAAAAATCAGGGATTATCCTAGTTAATTTGTTCTTGTTCCTTTCTCCTGTATTGTTACCGTTTTTAGATGTGCGAGAAGCACCTTTTTCAGTGAATCCAGCTGAGCAAAGTGTATTGCTGCTTAAGAAAACTGAATTGAGATACTGCAATACATTGGTATTTTTGACTTTCCTCCTTTTGGAAAATGAGTTCAGAATTAATGACAGAGATCAAATGTGACTGAAATCTTGAAAGGTATTTGAATGTACACATAAGCTTTCAGTTTGATTTTTCTTTTGTCTTTGCCATTGTTGTTGATATTTCCTCTATGAAAAGCTCTTTGTGGAAACATAAGAATTAATATACTGAAATATATTATAATATCTCACTTTCCAGGAAGATTTGTGTTTTATATATTCTTCCCTTTCTATTGAAAATGGCTCCAGGGTTTTAATGTGAAATGAACAAAGCTGTCCTATATGCATTTATCAGTTTTTATTCTGATGTCTCATACTTCAAGGACAGCAGTAAATTCTGTTCCATTTTTATTCTCTCCTCAGAAAGATATGTGGGGGTTAGGTTTGGGGTTTGCCTTGAAATATGGACTAGCCTCCGTTGATGCTGGTTTATCATTCTACTGGTTTGTAGGTTGGTTTGTAGCTCCAACACCGAGATATCAGAATTAATTTTGATAGCATTTTCAGGGCACAGTTCAGTTTCAGATTGAGGACTAGCTTAACCCTCACGTCTATTATCAAGAGCACTAGAAAATACTTAATCCACAATGCAATTAATAGTTGTGTGGCCATGGTCACATATTTCTTGAAAGGGAGATTAGGGGTTAAATTTGGGTTTATACCTCAAACACATTAATTCTTAGTATCATAAATATTATTGGTTTGACAGCAAAAGAAGCAAACCCACTCGCTTGCCCCTTACAATTGGTCATAGATCTTGAAAGTATTGGTAGCTGTAAGTCAAGACGTGATAGGCTAGAGAGCCAATATCTCTTCCTCTTAACTTTCCCATTTTTGGTGTAAACACCAATTTGTGAGTTCAGTAAACTCATGATCTGATTTTATCAATCGATAGAAGATTGCTCTGGCTGATTAAGAATCTATAACACCTTAACATTGGTTAGATCTGATTTTACATCTCTGCAAACTTGCAAATAAACCTCTCTTACTCCTTTGAAGATTGAGAAAGAAGCAACAGAAAAAGGTAATGATGTGATCCCTCTGGGGCAGTTCATTCATACCCACATACCCTAGGGTAGTGGTTCACAACCTGTGAGTCTTGTAACGCATAACTACAACTCCCAGATTTCTTTACCATTAGCTATTATGACTGAGGTTTTTGGAACTGAAGGTTGGAACTGAAGAATGAAGAGGGAGAAAGCTGCAGAGGGGCTGTCTAGAAAAGCAGGTACCAGTACTTCCCTCTCCATTTAATTATCAATACACCAATCACATCTTCAAAAGGCACAGCTACCTAATTCGTGCATTTAATTGAAAAGTCAGATAAAGTTGCAGGTTGTGCAAATGACCTGATCCTCCTTGTAGCCATTTCCTTTCTATATATTGAGTAGGAAGCTTGATTATCTTGCCTTGGTCCAATATATGTATGAGTCATGCAAAGTCGTCCCAATGTGAGACCAGGATAAATGGAACAAAAGGAATCAACTTTTCATTATACATACTTAACTTTCACATATAGACGTAACTAGTCTGGAACCCAATCAGTCAGTATTGTTATTTTCTTCAGGGCCTGTACATTTGTTTATTTTTTGAAAACACTTCCGATGTATCTGAATGGTCATCTGTACACTCTGTATAACTGCACATTAGTTTGTGCTATGGCAACAGAAACTCCTGTGTATCTTTTGTTTTCCAGACATTATGTACATGTACATCTCTGCTACTGGGCAAATCACAGTTAGACTTATTGATAACATAAACTAGGTCCACTCATGGTAGCATTTATGCATTGATTTAAGGATATGGTAGAAGGTAGTATTTATTAATGTTGAAAATAGTAACTTCCTTCAAGTCTCCACTAGTTGTTATGTATATAATTTCTTACTGTATTGTATATGTGTGTATTGGTATGCAATTTGACCATAACTCTTTGTTGTGGAAGGGACTGCAGACCATGGGATCAGATCTGGGGTGGTTCAGGACTTGGACTCCATTTTAGAAAGAGTTCAGTTTGTTTTGGACTTCAGTATGCTGTACAGAAGCCACTAGACTCCATTGGACTTTCAGGCTAGACAGAGACTCTTATTAGATTCTCAGAACAGAGAGATGCTTTGGACTATTGATTCTAAGAAAGATGCCCTGTGTTATCTACTCAGATAAACTAGAATCATAGAATCGTAGAGTTGGAAGAGACCTCATGGGCCATCCAGTCCAACTCCCTGCCAAGAAGCAGGAAAATCGCATTCAAAACACCCCCAACTACTTCAAATTCTATTTGTAACTGGATTGATAAGCAAAGTACTTGTATGCTGAATACATGAAGTTGGTGAGTAAACCAACTATGTTACTTTGAAAGAAGTCTGCTAATTTTGGCTCTTGAGAGCATGCTTTAAACTCATTTTAAGGCAAAGTAATGTTTTTGGGCAACTAAAAAGAGCACTTCTGAAACTCTGCTGTCTATATCTATATCTATATCTGAATTCTGGTGAATGTCATTTTCCCAAAAGGCAATGACTCTAACTGGTCATGCTTTTTACCAGGAGGTTATGGCATCATTTTTCAAAGGGCTATGACTTCTAACAAGTTCATGCCTTTCCAAAGATCATAAAATCTCCAAAAAGGTTATGGAGATTTCCATTTCCCAAAAATTACCTCTTGCATGATGATGATTTCCTGGTTGGTGGCCAAAGTGGCCAATTAGTGGCTGGAGGAAGGCAGGAAAAGTCCAGATCGAGATCAGATAAAATATTTTACTCCTGTATCTTTGGGCGAAGTATACCATAGATACAAGAAAACGTCAGCATCTTTGTGTTTTCAACTGCAGAAAATCAGCTAGAAACTCCTTGGGTGCCTCTTCTGGCCACTAAGTGGTTATGGAGGCAGGCAACTCCTGGGAGCTGATAGCTTGGCTGCAAACATGGCAGAAAGGTGGCTTTGTGCTCCATAAAGCCAATTCAGAATCTTGGCCTACATTTTAAAAGATACACATACACACACAAAGAATCAAATGGCGGTGTTTCTGCCTTGGTTTTATTCTTTCCTTGAAATTTAATTACTTTAGCTTTTCCTGCTAAAATAAGTACAGTATTTCCTCTTGCTGAATAGCACCAATGAAGAATTGTCAGATACCTCCATGATCTGATAGAGTTTTGCACAAATATGAAAGACAAACAATAATCTATCTAGCAATGTGATTAAAACACAGCGGAGGCTTGATCAACAGCAGATTTTAATTCTACTTTTCTCTAATGCATTACTAATAATGAAAATGCTCTATATGTGGTGATGTAGTTAATTTGTTATTTCAGAAGCAGCTTGGATTTGTCTCAAGAGGATAGGACAAAAACTGTCTTTGTTTTCTTGGGACAACATTTGTTGACAAGTCATGTATGCTACTAAATGCTATAAACCAGTGGTTCTCAACCTGTGGGTCCCTAGATGTTTTGGCCTTCAATTCCCAGAAATCATAACAGCTGGTAAACTGGCTGGGATTTCTGAGAGTTGTAGGCCCAAACATCTGGGGACCCACTGGTTGAGAACCACTTCTATAAGCCCCCCCAAAAAATCCAATGGACAAGAAACAAGGACAGAACATTGTTTAAAAACTATAACACGGCCTTTTAATTGTGTTGCAGAACCCTTCCTTGAGGAAAGACATAATTCTTGTGAGTCTAGGGCCAATCTAGGGCTAAATCTATGTAGAGAGTACTAATCTCAACTGGAGTAGACACTGATTCAATGGCTGTCTCACTAAGTTCCTGTTGTTTCAATGGCTGTATTCTGGTTGGGACCATTAGATATTGGCCTCAGTTAATTATTAAGGAGAAGGAAGTGTAATATACATAAGACTTGGCTCAGAATAGCTCTTTACTGCAGCTAACCTGAGCTAAATTTGTGATGCCTTCTGCAGGTTTAGTGAGAAGAGGTTACCTAACTTGAGGTGCTTTCCTGACCAATGGAGGATATGCTTTTGGAATTTTGAAACTTCAGGGTCCTTGGAAGAACGGACTAGACACAGCAAGCTAGAATGGGTAATTATTTTTAAAGGCTTACTTAATTGTTAAATACAAAAGAAAAAGAAGCATCAATGGTTTTAGTACCAGTACTCTGGCTCTATTTCTGCCAACAACCCCATAGACAGTACATATATTAAATTAAATTGCAATTGCTTATAGGCACTAAAATGCAAATATTTGCTAAACATGTCAATGCCTGCTGTTGACACTGTTGGGGGAAAAGCACCCATATATCTTGGTGGTTCTCAACCTGTGGGTCCCCAAGTGTTTTGGCCTACAACTCCTAGAAATCCCAGCCACTTTACCAGCTGTTAGGGTTTCTGGGAGTTGAAGGCCAAACCCATAGGTTGAGAACCACTGGTTTAAAGAAACCTATCAATATCTGATTCTGCAGATGAAGGGAATGAGTTCCCAAAGAACAGATAGTACCATCAGTGCCCTGAGATAAATAGCTACACATGGACATGTTTGCAATTCTCACATCTGGTAAGTATTTTTATGGAATGCCAACCCCATTCTGCTTTTAGCATTTAACTGGTTTCACATTTGTATCCTCTGCTACAAATAGATTATTATTATTTCAGCCTTAACTCCCGACAGATCCATTATACTTCTAAATCTGAGATTTAGGCAGATTAGAGCAGTTAACTATTGAATATAATTTACCAGTACTATAACCTAGAAATTCCAGTGTTTTTTTAAAAATTGTCTAGAAGGCTCAGTGTCTACAATAATAAATAACATGAATGTGTGCTAGACATGGGAGAGGGTTATCTGTAGCAACCTTTCTGAAGAGATGGAGCAGGTAATTCATTTGTAGGGCAAGCTTGCTAATTTCTAAGCCAAGATGTCAAACATGAGAACTGCCGTGCATGACTGGATGCCTATGTTCAGCTTCATAGGTCACAATACTATTCAGATAAAATAAGGTAAAGGTAAAAGTTTCCCCTTGACAGTTGTGTCTGACTCTGGGGTAGGGGTTGGGGGGTTGGTGCTCATCTCCATTTCTAAGCCAAAGAGCCGCTGTTGTCTGTAGACATCTCCAAGGTCATGTGGCCAGCATGACTGCATGGAGCGCCATTACCTTCCCGCAGAAGCAGTACCTATTGATCTACTCACATTTGCATGTTTTCTAACTGCTAGGTTGGCAGGAGGTGGGCTAACAGCAGGAGCTCACCCCGCTCCCTGGATTCGAACCACTGACCTTTCGGTTATTGTATTCATTTTGTAATTTTGCTTTTTTCAGGAAGGGAAGAATCTAGGAAGGTGATGAGAAACTTTCCTGCTCCTAGCAGTTTAATAGCAATTGATCTTTGAAGTTACCAAACAGTACTATGGACCTATAAAAGAATTCATGCCCATTGTTGCTTAGCTAACATGCCATACATAAAAGACCAGTTCTGAAGTGATGAAGTGATAGTGTTCTAAAAACATCCCAACTTCCATCATTTCCATACATAGAGATTATTTTTTAAGCTGGGTTGTTCGTGTTCAACTTTAACATATCAATGATAGGTATAGACATTGCAGTGACATGAGCTACTGTAATGGAGAAAAGGAACCCAGACTGAATCTACTGCTGTGGATCTCTGCCCTGCAGAAGTAGCTACCTAGACCCTAAAATGGAGAGGTCTTCAAACACATTTTATCAGATTTCTAAGCAAGTTGCACAGGTAATTTACTGAGAAAGTACCTCTTAAAACAAGTCCCATTTCAAATGTTGGTGATGAAGAACCAGTTCTAATACAATGCTTTTGCTTTTAGAGGAATACTCCTGGTTCACTTTGTATATATACAAAATTGAAACATTTCTCCACAATGGTTCAGAATTTCAGATAATCACATGAGACTTGAAATTTAAAGTTTGTTTTTCTTGAAGTCTGTCTGTGAAAACAAATTTAAAAGCCACTCTGTGGATACAAAACGTGACATGAGGTTTGATCTGTGGGTTAATGAACACAATGTCTAACATGTGAAACAATAGTGAAAGTACAGTTTTCTTAACAAAACTCTGAACCGTGAAAATAAAAAGTCGTTTTGGAGGCACTAGGAAAACATGTTAAGAGTTCATCAAGCAAAGCATGTCCACATTAAAATAGCCTTGCTTTATATTAGCAAAAAGCCTGCTCAACAAGCAACATTCAACAAACTCAAAAGATCCAAGGTACATTTATTGTGAAAGACAGAGAGTTTGAGTTCTACTGGCACAGTTTGATTTTGGGGTTTCTCTTCCTCCTCCTCTTTTAAACATTGTGAAAGCATTGGCTGCTCCCAGAGAGTGCTCCCATTCTAGTAAAGTCCAGCTTTTTAGCAGGTAAGCAGTGGTTCCCCTCTAATGCAAGATTCCTTGTACCTATTCGAGTGGGTTAAGCAGCGGCAACCACAGAAGGTGTTCAAAAATATTGAGCAATAATAGTTTTGGGTCTTTTTGCATATCTTTTCATCGCATGTTGTCAATCTGGAAACTCCCTTATTAGCAAGTACTGGTGCTGTAGCTAAAATCTTTACTTCTTCAGTTTCCGTATGTGCCCCTTTTTCCTTTTCATAAATATCTCATGCATCTTTTTTTTATTCGTTCTTCTCCCAACTCACTTGTGAATGAGTAAACGTTGTGCGTTTCCTTTCTTTTTTTCTGATGGCTGTTTCTCCCTTGTCCTTACTTCTCATCCTCGTCTCCTTCGCTCATGCTACTGATGGATGCTGAAGCTGCTTTTGGAGACGATGGAGGTGAAGTTTTCCTCAAAAGCCAGGGGGAAGGGGGAGACGGGGACCGCGATGGGGACCGTCCCCGAGTTGGGCTGCTGGTCGGGCTTTGCCTGGGAGACAAGGCTTGCAGCATTCGGCCGCTCCTTTCTTGAAACATTTGTTTCTGGAAAACAAGCAGAAACAGAAAATGGATATGAGTATGCTAATATGGCTATGCATAGATATAGATTCAATGGTAGAGAAGTAGGCAGTCAGTTCACAGCAAAACACGTTTCAGAATGCATATGCAGTAGAGTCTCATTTATCCAACATAAATGGGCCGGCACAATGTTGGATAAGCGAAAATGTTGGCTCATGAGGGATTAAGGAAAAGCCTACTAAACGTCAAATTGCATTATGATTTTACAAATTAAGCACCAAAACATCATGTTTACAACAAATTGACAGAAAAAGCAGTTCAATACACAGTAACTTTATGTAGTAATAATTATTGTATTTATGAATTTAGCACCAAAACATTGTCGCCCTGAGTCCCCCCCCCCCCAGGGAGTTGAGAAGGGCGGGGTACAAATATTCGAAATAAATGTATTGAAACAGCAATGAATCTGGGCAGGAGACAGACTGAGTTGGATAATACAGAACATTGGATGAGTGAAGGCTGAAAAAAATGAAACCATACTGTATTTACAAAGAAGGAATACTGCATCCTGAAACCAAACGATTTTCACAACATACAGTTCCAAAGTAAATAGATTGTAGCAATTTTTCAGCTGCAAATCGTAAAGACCGCCTTCTATATTATTAATTTGAGGTTTATGCAGAACTGAAAGTAGAAAAAAGCCAGTTTCCAAAATGAATGGTGGGTTTTATGTTTTCACCATAGATGGGATAAAAACAAAAGACAACGTATATGTGTGAGAGAGGTGAAAGTGCCCAGGTGCAACCTTTTATTTTATTTGTGCATGCCTGCTGTATAATTAATGTGCATTCACTATAATAGTATAATTATTATAATTATTCCAATTTTGGAGCACAAAATAGACCTTGCTTTCAACAAGTTTCACTCTTACAGAGTATTCTTGGACATAAGTTGTAGCAATTTGCATAGACTTCTGCAATGCAGAGAAAAGGTGGGGGATGAGATGGAGAACAAAGAAAGCAATTACTCTTACACCTTCAATTCCCAACACATTGATGCAGAACATAATCCTGCTGACTGTATACTGCCCACATCTAGGCATTAGTTGATTTCAACCATGTTGTCTGTTCCACCTGGCTCAATGCTAAGTTAAATAATACAGAATTGGAACATTTTTTTAAAGTGCAAGGGTATGTCTCATCTTGACAAGAAAAAAAATCATAATATATCTATGGCATGCTGTGTATTATTTAGTAAAATTCTTATAGAGCCAGCTGCATCTCATATTCAGGACTGGCTACATTAACCAACAGTAATGCTTAAGGGTTTCATATAAGAACCTTTCCCAGCCCAATTTGAAGATGCCAGGGATTGAACATGATATGGTTTGGATGTATCATGAAAATATGATATAAAATTTTATGAGTGTAGATTTAATATATATAGGTATGAATTGAGTTGAAGGGAAGAATGAATTAGTGGAGTTAATAATTTTGGAAACCCCAGTAAAATATTAAGGCCTGCAATGACTAACTATCTGCTTGCTGGACTGTTATTAAAAATTGCTAATTAGAACTGAAAAGTAAACTGTGATAAGAACTGTGACAATGATAACAGAAATGTTTACAATGTTAAGAAGGAAGTCAACACAAGGCTAACACCAAGAAGTCTCAACATCTGCCAGGATTTGAAGGTTCAAGATAATTTCAAACAGGACACTTATTTACTACTTTTGGAGTCTTGGATTTTGTGCTGGGAGTCAGGTTCTGCAATATGGAAAATAGAGATCTGGTCCTCAGCATGGTGCTTAGGGAAAGGATGCATTTTGGTGTTTCGAAGTTATGGAAGTTTTTGAACTGTGGATTGGCAGGCTGCAAGGGAGGAAGGGTCGAGCTTAAGATATGTTCTCCAGGAGACAGCAGGAAAAATGGTGATGGATGCATGAGGATGGATGCATGTACATGTGTGTGAATGCTGAGTAAAAATGTAATTGCCCCTTAGTTTGTTTGTTAGTCAATATAACTGTAAGATGTTTGTAAATCCAATGTAGTTGCATAGAATCTGTATGTCTATATGTCTAATGTCATTCTTTGTGTAAAAGTATAAAAGTTCTATAAAGGTTCTGACATATCCTCTCCATTGGAAACTGCAATAAAAAGAACCTATGCTTTAAAGTTATTGAAAAGTTATTCACGACAGATGCAAAGCATGAGATCTGCCCCAGTGGATACTAAAATTGGTGGCTAAATCCAAACTATGGCCCTTCAAGGGAGGAGGATGTGTAGTGGAGAAATAGCAGGAGAAAAAAGGATTACAAAGCAATCCTATGCATTCCCCTTCAAAAGAAATCCCACTGAGTTCAATAAGACTCACTTGCAGGAAAAGGGGGTATGAGATTTCAGCATTAAGCTCTTCATTTCACTTCCATTTCTTCTATTCTGATAACCCTTCTAGAAGAGGGTTCTTTTTTTTTTTTGGCTGCTAATGTTCCTGCAACTAACACTTTCAACTCCAAAATATTGATTTTGAGGTTTCCTAAAAGTATAAATGAGCTTGGAAACATTACTTTTTGGATTACCAATCTCAAAATCCCCTAGTCAGTTTGGCAAATTGTCCAGCTTGTTTGGGGATTCTGGGTGTTGTAGTTCAAAAACTTAACTTTTCTAGAAAATCTATGTGGTCTCAAACACACTGTTTCACAAATACTCATTATAATTACAGCATACTAATGGATGGTCCCATGTCATCTTAGAAATGAGCATGCCTATAACTATTCCTCAACTTCTGATGTCAGCGCTAAAAGTGACATCTGGTATGGAAAATTAATGTTAATAATGCTCCTGACTGTAATAGTAAGTTATCATTTTTTTTAAAAGCTCACCTCCTGCCGTTACTGACATGGACTTCATTTCTCTCCCCTCAACACCATGACTTTACCGTCATTAGAGCTTTTCTCTAGAACAATGCCACCTCTGATTTCATTCTTCAGTGAGTAATTTTATGTGACTTGGCTCTGTAAAGGCCTTCACATAAAATTGCTTCCAGTTTCTTGCCCTGCAGTTGCTGCCACTCTCCATCACGGAAGAAACAAAAAAAAAAATCTTTCAATTCCTAGCTTTTCTGATAACAAGGAAATATGTAGCTAAATCCATAAAATGGAAACACATATCTGCTTAATATCAGTTTTAATATTCTGATCAGGACTGACCATAGCCTTCTGCTTTTATATAAGTCATAGCAGCTTTTAGCATGTAAAATACTTTTTAGCCTTTAGCAGGTTGCCCTTAACAAAACTCTTTGTTATAAGAAGTTTGGAGCAACACAAATTAGTGAGTTAGGAATGGAGAACCTTTGGTTGCCCAGATGTTTTGGGCTTCAGTTACAATTGGCAAAGCTCTCCGCAGCCAATAGGATCTGAAGTCCAAGCTATCTGGAGGGCAAACATTCCTCCAATCTGTTTGCTTCTGAGAAAGAATGCCCAAAATTTAACTCCTGGCAGCAGTTAAAGGTTTGAAGTAACAAACCCAACCCTCTGGAGAACTGTAGTCAGAGCAGACAACGATGAACCAACCAAGCAATGGGAAAACAGTCAACTTCCACATGTAATTGGCCTGTGGTGTCCTAGCCAATGGTGGGGAATGCTGAGTCCTGCAGTTCACCCATAAGAGGAGGGCCACACAGTTCTCACCCTATTACTTTGTCCCATTTTACTGATTGACAATCAGAGGCTGAAATACTGTGATATTATCTAAATTTGGCTTTCCTAAATTCAAAGGAACTATTTTATGCTGTTCTTGAGAGGAAAAAAATAATATGTCAGAAATATATTTTGTATCAATTTATTCTTATGCATACAGCATTTTAAAATGCAAGGGCTATACCAATACCAACCCATCTTACTGTATCTATTTGACTCCTACTTCGGAAAGACTTTCTGCACACAGTAATTCTCCTCCAGAGAGTATTGCAATATACTTGACATGGGGCTGCACTTGAAGAGTGTTAAGAAATCACAATTTGTTTAAAATTCATTAGCTGGGTTATTTTGGGCAAGAATATCTTAACATAGGCTTTGCACGAACCTACATGGAGTTAACACAAACATCGTCAAACTTCAGCCCTCCAGGTGTTTTGGACTTCAACTCCCACAATTTCTACAAGCCTACTGGCTGTTAGGAATTGTGGGAGCTGACGTCCAAAACATCTGGACAGCCAAAGTTTGCCCATGCCTGAGTCAACATCTGTTCTGGAGATCTATCATATCCTATAGAACTAAGATGTTGGGGAACAGGGCCTTTTCTGTAAAATTCCTTCTCTAGGGAAATTAGACTGCTTCATTTTATAAATGTCAGAAAACTTTTTAAACTTTTACTTTTTGCATAATATTTGAATTAATATAAATGTATTTACACTTTGCTTTAAAATATAAATTTCTGCTATTTTTAATTTATAAGATTTGTGATGTGTGTGTGTATGTACCTTCAAGTCTCCAGTCAATGTATGGTGACTCCATGAATTTTATAGGGTTTTCTTGGTTCAAGAAAACTCAGAAGTAGTTTTGCCAATTCCTTCTTCTGAAATATAGGCGACAATACCTGGTATTTTTGATGGTCTCCCATCCATGTATTAACCAAGGTTGACCAAGATCAGACAAGATCTAGTGTTGTTATGGTATTTAGGCCTCCAAGATTTGTTATAATATTACTTGGTCTTTTTAAAGAACTGGCACCTTGGGGACTATTTTGGTCTGACACACAATACCATAGGCATAAAAATCAGCTATAAATCTGCTTCTGCTTTTCAATCAATGAAGCAAGAAAATCATAAACCTGCTTTTTACTGCCGGACAGATAACCCATCAGTTGTATGTATATATAATTTATATACAGTATATGAATCTATGTGTGTATGTATGTTGCTGCCGTGTGCCTTCAAGTAACTTCTGACTTATGGTGACCCAAAGACAACCTTATGACAGGGAGTTTTCTTGGAATAATTTGTTCAGAGGGGGTTTGCCTTTACCATCTCCTCAAGATGAGAGAATTTGACATGTCCTGGTCACCTAGTAGGTTTCCATGGCCGAATGGGGATCCAAACCATGGTCTCTCATTGCCCTATTCAAACACTTAAACTACTACACAATGCTGGCATATGTATGTATGAATAAATAAATAATTAAATACATACCCAAGCACCGTCTGGACCGAATAGCTCTAAAAAGTTGCCAATAAATTCTCTAGACTTCTCTTCCCATTTCTGAATGAGATCATGACTTTTTTCTTCCACTCGGTTCACAAACTCTTTAGATCTTTCTTCCACATTCTTTACTTTCTCTTTCATTTTGTCTACCTGATTCTGAAAGCGATATTTCTTTTCCTGGTAAAGATAAAACATAGAGGCTGCAAAACATGAGGAAGTCCCAACTAAGGCTCAAATGAGATGTTATGATAAATAATATGATACAGCTAAAACAAACAATAATTGAAAAATAGCCCCTCCATCTTTGAAAAGTATCTGTGTAGTAAGTATGTCTGGGCCTGAACTGGATTGGGACGGGGGAAGTTAGATTTGTCCATCTCGTGATTCCCCCCCCCCCCACTTTCACCTTTTCCATTGAGACCCTCTGTGTTGTGGTGGTCTCCAGCTGTGGCACGGGCCATATCTGTTGGCTTTCATGTATATTGACATTGAGCAGGGTGACAGGATGCCAAGGAAGGGTGGAAGAGGAGGAATGACCTTCCTTTCCCCTTCCTTTCCCAGACTACCCCATCACCCTGCCCAACATCACTGCATGCAGTGGTCAAGAGGTAGGAACTGATGAGACAAACCTGAAATATTTCAATAAAAACTATTTTTTAAAAAAAGAGGTAGGAACTGTGTCACAGCCAGAGACTGCTGCAACACTTGCACACGGAAAACACAGAATGACCATGGGGACAACACATCACTATAAAGTTATCTTAAATTGATGACATTCAAAGGCACAAGAGGCAGTGAAAAGGTTTAACTTATTGTGATGAGTTGTTCTTACTGCTCTTGGTGTTTTCTGCCTTCATGTCAAATCCAATAGTTTTCTTGGCAATATTTACTCACAGGATGTTTGCCATTACCTCTGCAAATTGTTTCTGTGCCTCCTCTTCCTCAGCATTTGTGGGTTTGTTGTTGTTACATGACTTCATCTCAATTCTGATGCAAATACTATCCTTGGGTTTCTTTGAAGACTGAGAGACTATGACTATCCTGGGTCACCTAGTAGATTTCCATATCTTAGAAGCTTGGTTTTACTAAGTCCTAGTCCAAAACTCCCCTACATTAACTCTTTAACTACTTTTAGGGTGTTAGTTGGACTATGGAGACTGCCATTACAAAGATTTATTTTCCTCCCCTCCCTCCAATTTTTCTGAAATCCAATTTAGGCTTAGAATATGACAAGAGATTCAAACACCTACGTTAATAAAACTGACATTCAGCTCTTTAGCAGTATATCCTCTCTGAAGGTTGCGACGGGCATAGACATCGTAATCACGCACAATTCTAGTGATAATATCTGACGTTGAGATGCCTTCAGTTCTCTGTGTAGGTACAAACATACCTGATTAAAAGAAAGAAGGCAAAGTGAGTCATGATGACATCTCAACTTTCCTGTAAGAATAATTTATTTCATAATGACCTAGTTCTGGTACTTGATTTTTAGTCTACATTGCATCTGATTCTGGATAAACTACTTCATGGCATTTTTGTTAACAGCAAGCACACACACACATGATTCATAACCACAAACACACACACACATTGTTGCATTAATCATGTTTTACTCACATATTGCTTATGAATGTATTAAATATTTCTAACTATAACGTATTATTTAGTAGCATGAGGTTCCCATTTGAAGAGAACTTAATCATAGTGAATAGTTAAGTTAAATTTTGGTTAGTTCTATTCAACTCTATTCATCACACATTGAAATAATTATGCATGTAATTAAAAAGGCGCCTAAGGGCTGAGAAAAGCGGTAGATAAATGAAGTAAATAAATAAGTAAATAAATAAAAAGTAAGGTAGGTCTACATAAAATTAATTATCCTAGGTTTCTAAAGAAATGAGTATAACTAAAGTACCATTACATATAGCTTTTCACATTTATTTCAAAAGGTTCTAAGGGCAACTTAATTTATTTTGGCGCTAGCTCACTGATGAATATAGACAACCTGGAAGAATTACCACATTTTCTTTACAGGACAATATTTCACATGTTGGCATCACATGCTTTTATATTACCACACCAGAAAGATATGCTGAGTATATGCAGAAGTGCTTTTTCTTAAATTCAATGGGGCATACTTTCAACCTTGGGCAGCAGTTGGAATTTTACATATTTTCCAGCCTAACACGAACATGTGAAGTCTGTGGTCCTTTTAAGCCACATATACATGTATGTGTAGTCATTCCACAATATTCTACCAGTCCTTTCAGAAAACTATACCTAAATCCTTATGTCTTCAGCAGATTCACAAACTTATCATCCACCAGCCCCAATGTATCAGAACTGGACAGAGATGAGTGAGCTGAAGTGATACACTGGACCCTTTCCATTAAAGCCTTAGGAGCAATTACAAGAACAGATCATATTTTGCTTCTTTGTAATTCTGAATTCCCAGATGAGACAAACCTGAAGTGGTATTCTCTATTAAGCTCTAGGAGGAAAGTTTAATTACTTCCTTCTTTGACACTGTTAATTGTTTTGATAACAACATAAATTAAAGAGGTTTCTGAGAGATTACACAGCAAAGTAATTTGTTCTCTTGGGTCCAATTCTGAATCCAATACAGACAGTGGAAGAATCTCTGCTCCCTTGAAGAGGTTGTAGAGTTCAGGGTTTCACACAATTCCCATTATTGTTATGATTGAGTACTAGGACAACAAGAGAAGTCATAAAGGCACTTTAAATTGTATACAGTTAGAATAGTTGCTGGCCTGAGGTATGAGAAATGAGCACATGAGAAACCTATGAAATAGTCAAGGTTCCTTCACCATTACTTTGAGCTCTATATGTACTAAAAGAAATTCAGCAAAGGTAAATAATATCTTAGGTGTGAAGTATCATTGGTCTGCCTTTTCTAGTTTGTTTTGCAGTGCAAACTTCTCAAATTTAGGTGAAGTGATGTATTTATTTAAAACAGATGGCATCAAATTGAGAAAAATATTTCAGATCTACCTGGTGGACATACAGTTCCAAACTACCCAAAAAAACGTTTTTTAAAGTAAGGAAAATACTCACCCCCTCCCCTACATACACATACACTAAATCTCTGCAGACCATATAGTCAACAAACACTGAAACCCAAAATATAGCTCAGTGAGCACACCTACATCTAGCCCTAGTCCGAATTAAAGGTTATCCAAGGAGGTGATGATAATACAAGTCTTTAAAGTAGAAGTTAATATATGGGCAGAGTTGGATTCTCAGAAAGTATCAAATTAAGAGTGGAGGTAGACGTTACTAGAAACAGAACTGCCATCATTCCATGTCACTTTCTCTCCATTAATGTATTATAATAGTAAGTGGGATTTGACATCACCACACTAGGCATTACCTTCCCCCATCTAATTGGCTGTCAGAACTGGGGGGAAAGGAAATTATATAGCATAATGGCATCATGTCACACTTGGTGCTATATTGGTAATGAAAACAGACTTAAGAGAAATGGCAGCTCGGTGCTTCCTGTAACACCTAATTTAACCCTATGGAGGAGGGGGGTCCTCTGTTGTTAGCTACTCTGAATTTTCATGCTGACTGGGAGTTTTCAAAGAGGGGCAGATAAATATGGCATACTTCAGAAAGTGCTTTAGAAAAAAATCATGGTTAACAGTTATGCATAACTTTATCTTCAGGCTAAGAAAAATTGTATCCATTTCTTCAATTTCTATCTGTCATAGATGCTTTACTTTATTTTATGTATATCCCATGTTTTCATAAAAAATGATGCCCATGGCAACTAACAGTAAGAAGGGGGTAGCTTATCCATGTGTTACTTCTCTTGCTATGAGCACCTTGTCATTACAGCTGTGTCCGGTGATGTCAGAATACTACATCTGCGTGACCTCCTCCTTTTTGCTAGTCATTTGGGCACCCCTGTCTGACATCAGCACACAACTATGATGACATGGTGTTCATCTGGAACTCCATGGCTGGCAGGGAGCAGCCATAGCAATACAGATGACAAAGTAACGTCCTAGTGGGGGGCAATGCAGGCCCAGACTGGTTGAGCCCTTTGGGGTGCACCTGCATTTCTGAACTAATGCAGTTTAGCACCATTTTAACTGTGGTGATTAATGCAATGAAATCATGGAAGCTGCAGTTTTACAAGGTCTTTCGCCTTTGCTGACAAAGAGTGCTGGTGCCTGACTAGATTTCAAATCTGAGGATTCCATAGCATTGAGCCATGTCAATTAAAGTGGTGTCAAACTGCTTAATTCAACAGTGTAGATGTACCTCTGGACACTGGCCTTGGATCCTGCATATACATGCTGGATACAGGGTGCTCCATGGTTGATACACCGGAGTAATCTGTCCAGTATAGATGTTGCCTTCACTGCTTTGAGTCCCACCAATGGGAGAAAAGCAGGATAAAAATAATCAAATAAAAAAACAAAAACAAACAGGGATTAAATATGCCCTCTCTTGACAGTGATTGTCAGAGTTTAGAAGTACCATGAGAAGCTCCATTGTGAGGTGATAAGATCTGTGAATGTGAAAGGGTTTCATTTTATCCAGGCTGAGGAATATTGATAGTATCTATATCTATATCTATATCTATATATCTATATCTATATATCTATATATCTATCTATCTATATATATATATGTGTGTGTGTGTGTGTGTGTGTGTGTGTGTTGAAACTGATATTTTACTGTTTCTACGTGATGTTTTATTACATATGTATTTATGCCTTTACTATACACTATGAAATTATCAGAAAAATGCTGAAACAAGTAAAAGTCTCTTCATCAGAGGTCAGAAACTGTGTGCCTATCCAATTTCAATGAAGAAATTATTCTACATGATGGGTGCCACAGCAGACCAGATTCTCCTGAATGAGGACTATAGTAATGCAAATTATAATGGTCCATTGCATACAGGATTGCTCCAAATAGACCTACAGTATATTCTGGCGTATAAGACTACTTTTTAACCCAAGAAAATCTTCTCAAAAGTCAGGGGTCGTCTTATACGCGGCTGTAGTCTTATGCATGGGAGTCGTCTTAACTCTATATTTTAACTGGAAAAGTTGGGGGTCGTCTTATACACCCAGTCGTCTTATATGCCGGAATATACGGTACATCTAATTGGTACCCCAACAAGAGTAAGCCATTTAATCAATAGTATTGATTTAACAAGTTTCCATTGATTCAATAAGACATGATCAATCTAATAATTTGATTTAGGTTAATAATAATAATAATAATAATAATAATAATAATAATAATAATAATAAATTTCAGACAGCTTATAACAGATTGAAACACAATAGTTAGTTTTCTGAAAATGTAACATATCCCTAAACTGTAAAAAAAAACACACACATACACACACACAAAACCTCCATCAGAATAATACATTGAAAATCTAGCATACAATGCAAGAACTTTCTCACCTGAACAACCAGTCCTCAAAGGCATATTGAAAAAGAAAGCTCTTCACCTCTTTGCAGAAAGAGACTAGTGAAGGTGCCAATCTCTAGAAAAGGAGAACCTGGGGGAGCCACTGAAAAGACGCTTTCCTGTATTTCCACCAGATGTTCTTTTGAAGATACAGGGACAAAGAGAAGGGCTTCCCCAGCAGATCTTACAATGCAGGTTAGTGTGGAAAGGAGAATGTAATCCCTCAATTAACCTGCATGAGAGCCATATAGGGCTTTATAAGTCAAAACAAGCAATCCCCTCAACCTCTGAGGATGCCTGCCAAGATGTGGATGAAACGTCAGGAGAGAATGCTTCTGGAACATGGCCAACAGCCCGGAAAACTCACAGCAACCCAATCTGGCTGTGTTTGATAGAGCCAATGAACTTCATTCCTAAAATGCCTGCTCTTTGTCACCTCCATCCTGTCTACAGCTTGCTAATGTGACAGTGAGACAATAACATACTTAGAAGTTTAAAAGATAAAGCAGAACTATAAACAAGCTCCCACCTGCCTCCTTTATGTGCTTGTAAACATCATCTGAACCAGCAGAGGAATATGGAATGTCATCATGAGCTACAAAATCAATCTGGAAAACAAAGAAGCAAGAATTCTCAGTTATTATTTTTGAATCCTACATTATCATTTGCATATACTGTATAAGCTGCTCTATGAATTTAACAAATATTCACCAAAGAATTGAATAAAGGCATTTTATACTGCTGGAATATGTTCTTCTGGTCAGTAAGTAGGACATGAGATGAAGACTGGATTCAGATCTTGGAGTCATACATGGGATACCTATCCAGGAGCTAAAGTTGGTCATACACACCTTCATTTATCCTATTACTACTGCAGGACAGGTATTATATGAAAACCAGTGATTCAAACGAAAATATTTTTGTAATATCTGAACCACTTAATTTTCAGTACAATGCAGCTAAGAAACCAGGAAAACTCCAAATATGAGTGAGTATTCATATCATTATTGGGTATGATTTCAGCTGGTGACTGAGCGGTGGCTTTGAGATATCACCAAAGTGTTCTGTGCTAAACATTCTACAAATATTCCGTGGATATGCCCTTGAAAAGGGACAATACTGTTAATCTACTGCTCTTTATTTTCAGGTAAGAGTGTATAGCTGAATTTAGTTTTAGACAAGTATGTATAGGATTGCAGCTTAAATTGATTTAAAATTAACTCTGATGTTTAAGCAGATAAGATCTTGAAATGTTTAGTTTTGAGTCAAGTTTCTCATGAAATAAGCACTTGTGAAGTACAAGAACAAAGCTCATACTTGAAGGATATATTGGAATAACAGCAGACTATTATAACAAAGGGCAGGACTGCTGTCAGACTGGTAGCAATAAAGAAAAGTATTTAAATGCATATGCAAACAGAGGAGAAATGTTTAAGTTTCACTCAATTATATGAGCTTGATCTGTACTGACTGCATTCCGATCATTCTTTTTATTAGGAAAATCTCGATTTTAAGCGGGATGGATGGATATCAACTACCTTTGATCCATTTCCCCAAGTTGGAAACAGCTACAGCCAACTCTCTTACACTTTTAGTAAAACACCAGCTTGGTTAATTTCCAACCTAGTTTTGAGTCAAACTTGGAGTCTCGGCAATATCACTGGATTTGTGATGGGGGCAAAATATTTCTTCCCACCACTCCAAAAAGCTCATCCTCCAGACCTCTTATTTGACAGTTTAACTGCTGGTCTTTTTTGATAGTGGCAGGGAGAGAGATTCTGTCCTTGCAAGTGATATCAGATACCTGAGAAGCCACATGAAATAAACTATATTTTCCACAATTTCTGGCATCTGAAATGAGAGGACAAATTGCCTACCTGCCATTGTCCTTGCCACAGTCAAGCAAGTGAGAAATACAAACTATTTTTCATCTTAGAGTACAACCTGAGAGCCAGAAAAGAACTGTGCAGCAAGGGCAGGCAGAGAACTGGCTGATTTGAAATACAGTGCGGTTCACAAACATGTCAAATTCACATTCAAAGCAAAATTTGTCAGCATCACTAAACTGGTTCCCCTGCCTTGCCCTGCCCACATGGCAAAGAAGAAGAGAAAGGCACCTTATGTTTTTCCAAAAACTCTGGCGTGAGGGTCCATGGGGCATCTCTGATTACTTCGTCTACATAGCGGCAGTGTCTGAGGGCTTCATACCTCTCTGCTTCATTCATTACAGTGAAGCCTTTAAACTTGTGGGTTAGATCATCACTGCAAACTGACACACACACAAGAAAATTTCAAAACAGAGTGACACAGCCCTTGTCAAATGTAGCACATCTGTTGGAATAGAAAATTCTTCAAAGCTATTTTGCGAGTTAAATTTATAGCTGTCAAACCAAATCAGCCTAATTCATGACTATACAATCAAAACAAAACAGCCCAGAAAACAGAAGTTGCAAACAACATGTCACACAAGATGGTTGTCTAAGCTTTGTGCCTAAACACAGGCTTAGCTAAAGTAACGTGGGCTGATCGGCAGTTCAGATGGTACAACTAGAAAAGAATTATATTTTCTTTTACACAAGTTTTGTTTAAAAAACAAAACAGAATTGAACCCAAAGAGCTCCATATTCTTTCCCACGATAAACTAAACTACTCTTAAAGTCTATGTAGCAAGATGAGGCTCACTTTGACATATTTATATATTTTTTATCTTCTTTCCTATTGCTTCTTTTCCTACTGTTTCAAGAAGGACCGGTTTGTTGTAGAGCATATCTAACCAAACAGCATATGAGTATCAAAGAGCTATTAAATGGGGTTCAGGTCAAAGTTGTGCAACACTATGAATCGGGTGGTAAGACACCAAACAATGAACATCTCCCAGATTATTAAACAAATTATTACAGAATGGAAAGAACATGGCTGAAATGTGACTTTGCCTAGAGAAGGCTGTCCATCAAAAACTTGGGTTAGGAGAGCATTAGAACAGAAGCCATCAAGGGACTAATGGTAAAGAAGCAGATACATCTACACTTGTATAGTGCATCTCACATTATCTTTTTGCTTTTTTTACAATATCTAAGGGAGAAAAAGAATCAGAAATTGAATCTTCACTGAATGTAATCTTACATTTCTTTCTAATCTCCCTTACATTAGAGAGCAAAGTCTAAATTCTTAGGCAAATTGTATAGAGTGGAGAGAGAAAAATTAAACATACACCAAGTGGATTAGCCTATGTAAAAAGGCTTGCTAAATAAGACCAAAAGCCTATCTAGGCCAAATTCTGGTTTTCCATAGGTTCTTTCATAGCAACTGATAAAATTAGTCTTTTACAAATGGGGTAATTTGACCAGCAGCCTCTTGTTTGTTGACAATGACTAGAGCACAGATGGTGAAAAACTCAACTTTTATGCAACAAGACATGGTATAGAGGGCACCTTCACTTGTACAAGGTGGCAATACATGCAGTGAAGAAAGAATTATATCTGCAGATTCATGTTCACCTGAGCTGTTCAGAGTGGTGAGAGGTTTAATCCAGTTACCCTCCCCTCCGAATCCATTGTTAAACCTTAAGTAGCTCACTGTGATGCTTTTAACAACCATTTTGCAGATAAAATCTCTTGCATAAGAGACGACTTAGATGCTATCATTGGAGCAGAGACCAGCAACATGGTGTCCAGCAACTCTGTGAGTGGGATTACACTAGATCAGTTTCAATTTGTGAATACTGTTGATGTTAACAAGCTGCTGGGGAAAGTAAGGAAGACAACCTCCTGTCTTGATCCTTGTCCTTTTTGGCCAGTTGTGCAGGGAGGAGCTGCAGTGTGATCTCAAATATTACACATTATTAATGCATCTCTCAGGGAGGGGAATTTTCCATCATGTTTAAAAGAAATAGTAGTTGGACCACTGCTGAAGAAGCTCTCCCTGGATCCCCTGGACATTAATAATTACAGACCAGTGTCTAACGTCCTTTTTTGCACAAGGTGGTTGAGAAGGCAGTTGCCTTCCAACTCCAGGTAGTCTTGGATTACACACACTTCCTTGACCCATTTCAAATAGGCTTTAGAGCAGGATACAGAGTTGAGACTGCTATAGTCGCCTTAGTGGATGATCTCCATCTCAACACTGACAAAGGGTTTGTTTCCCTGTTGATGCTTCTAGACTCCTCAGCAGCCTTCGATACCATTGACCATGGTATCCTTCTGGAATACCTGGAGGGGCTGGGAATCAGAGGCACTGTGCTGTAGTGATTCTGGTCGTACCTCTCAGGCAGGTTCCAGATGGTGCTGATTGGGGATTGCTGCTCCTCAAAAAAAAAAAGCTGTTATGTGGTGTTCCACAAGGTGCGATTCTATCCCGAATGCTCTTCAATATTTACATGAAGCCACTGGGAGAGATCATCCGTAGGCATGGGCAAGGTGTTTTCAGTATTCTGATGACACCCAAATATATTTCTCCATGCCTTCAAAAACAGCTTCAGCTAAGGATAGAATACCTTCTCTCAATAAATGCCTGGAGGAGGTAATGAGCTGGATGGGGGAAAAACAAATTGAAACTGAATCCAGACAAAACAGAGGTGCTTGCCATCAAGGGTACAAATCTCTGGATGAAGATGTGTCAGCCAGTTCTGGATGGGGTTACACTCCCCCTGAAAGACTGTGTTCGCAGCTTGGGAGTGCTCCGGGATCTGTCTCTTCAAATATCAACCCAGGTAGATGCGACAGTCAGGAGTGCTTACTACCAGCTTCGGCTGATGCACCAGCTGCACCCCCGTCCTAGACTTGGAGGACCTTAATATGGTAGTTCAGAAGTCCAACTTTAAGGTTGTACTTCTGGAATGCACTTTATATTGGACTACCTTTGTATCGAGTTCAGAAATGCCAGCTGATTCAAAATACAGCAGCCAGATTGGTTACGGGAACATTCAAGAGTCAACATACTACACCTATTCTAAAGTCACTCCACTGGCTGCCAATTAGTTTCTGGGCAAAGTACAAAGTGTCAATTTTTATCTTTAAAGTCCTACAGTGTTTGGGTCCAGGTTACCCACAGGATCATCTTCTTCCATACAATCCGTCCCAAATACTGAGGTCCTCTGGGAGGCAGTTACTCCAGCCAGTACCCGACTGGCAGCACTCACTCAGGGACCTAACCATCAGCCACACCAAGACCATGGAACAACCTGCCAGAAGAGCTCTAACAGCTAGAACACCTGTTCCAATTTAAGACACAAGTGAAGACCTATCTCTTCAGCAGGTCTATCCAGACAGTTTTAATGACAAATTTGTTTTGTGTATGCATCTTGTAGAAATATATTTTAATATGAATGTGTGTTTTACAATGCTGTAATCCACCTCAGCCATGAGGAGAGGTGGGTAAGAATTAAATTATTATTATTATTATTATTATTATTATTATTATTATTATTATTATTTGCTGATTGTAACACAGAGATTATTGTTCCAATGTAATAGTTATTCAAATATTTGTCTTACCTCCTACTAACAAGTAGCTATTAGGGAAGAGAGTTTTGGCTTGCATAAGTGCTCTAGCATGACCAGAATGAAAAAGATCAAATATTCCATCTGCATAGACTCTGACAGGTCTGTCCACTGTGAAAGCAAGGAAAGAACTTATTAGCCAAACTAAAACTGTGCCAGAGCGTATGTTAGTATATAACTATATCTTTGCTAAATGAATGCCTTGGTGTATAAAACCTCTAAAGAAGTTCTGTTTTACAGTCTCTCCACCCACTCCCTCCCCATTTCTTCTGTATCTAGACAGATTTTTAAACAGCATTAGCTATAGAAGGAGGGATGAAGGAGGGCTGGAGGAGTAGATACTTTTGGTATTTAGTAGCAGCAGTATCTCTGTAGAGAGCACTGTAGTACATCTTCAGCTGAGCAATAATGGAAGCCTGTGCTAAATGACCCTAACATAGTTGTATGGACACACCTATTTCCTCCTCTGGTGCCAAACTTTCTGTCAAAGAACTAATGTGTAGGAACACCTTATTAAGTGGGAAATGTCTATATTAAAATCATAGTGAATCCTTTTTCCTGAAGTTTAGAAAAGAAATTAACTATTAATTCAGAGGACATAATGTAGAAATAATCTACTATATCTGAAACACGCAAGAGTGGATTAAAAGAGAGACATGCATATCAAAGGACTACTTTTGAAAGCATAATTCTCTTTCCATAAACTGGAGTAAAATCTTTGAATCTTATATCTCCATATAGATCTTTGCAAAATTGGTCCAGAAATGTTAGCATGCTCATACAAAATGTCAACATCAATAGAATATTGGGCATTTACTTTTACGTATACATAGCAAGTATAGCACAACACTTTTATCCATGGGAGATATGTTCCCAAAGTTATCATGGTAACAGGAAAACATGGATAATAGCAAACCCTACTGAAATGAACAACTTCTGCTGGAAGTTACCATAGGGTCAAACTGGAAGATAATTATCAGAGAGGTGCAGGTAAGTGGAACCACAAGTACTGGTCCTGTAGGTACGGGGGGGGGGGGCAGAGTATGCACGCACATGAAAACTATTGGCTAACCAGAAATTTGGATATCCTTTAGTTCCATGCAATTTGAATATGAAAATTTAAAATTGTAAGGCAAGATGAATACTGTATCTGATTCTATTTGTATATATCACAGATACCCAGACTCACCTGGTGTCCCAAGGCGGGCCTGAGCAATAGTTAGCTTCTCATGAGGAGCTTTACACTGACAGCTTGTTTCACCTGCAAATGGAGCAGGCGCACACAAAGTCTAGAAGGTGGGGAAGGGGAGGTCAGGAAAACAGAGACCAAAGTACATAGTCAGTCAATTAATATAACACACAATGTGGCTTGCTCTTTGCCATCATCCAGTGCCAATAAATACAAGGTAAGAGATACAAGGCATAAACATTCAGTGTTAAACAGAATGAACAAGGAAACATTTCATGGTATCATGGAGATATAATTATAGTCCAGGTTTAACATTATGATTGTTGAATACAGGAATACAAATATCCCACTGTTTATTCATTTGAAATCACATTCTCATTGGATTTTGGTCCAGAGGAGGATAGGACTTTTTCTGGATTTCCAGGTTCTATCTATTTATTGATATTGATCCTGCTTCTCTCCCAAAACCAGGACTCAGGGCAGCTTACAAGGTTAAAATGATGCAAATAAAATGTTTAAAGTTATGACAGAAAAACACAATTAAATAAATTACATTAAAACACAATTGAACAAACAGCAATGTAAAGACTGTATTAACCCAAGAAGGTCTGATTCACACCACAAGCCAAATAAGACTGAAGGGAAATGAAGCTACCAGTGACACAAACATGAAGTAGATGATAAATTGATGTAGTAATAACACTGAAAGAAAAGAGAGTTCTATCAGGAGCGATTGATATGATTCTGGTCTTTGGGAATACACAGGACCTCTTATACACCAAGGCCCACTAGATTTCCTGGACAAGAAGCCAACTCTCCTCTCTATATAACTGAGACATAAAAGGAAGTTAAAATATCATGTTATGGGTTGCTTTCAAGAAGCTATAGTAATGTTCACAGATTCATCTGCACCTTTTATCACTGCTTCTACGAGAAAGAAAATTATCAGGTGGAAAGTGTTCCTAACTGTAGGAAGACTAGCACTGTGCACAAACTACAAAACCATAGAGGTTATATGATCTCTAACTTGCACAGCTTGTTTCTGGGGTCCTACAAGGGTCATTTGAAACTCAGGAAGAGAGAAAGAGGCCTGCTAAGTAAACATATACAGTCTTTTAAGCAGTTTACAATAAATATGTGATTGTGAGATTGGCAGAGACACAGATATGTGCATAAAAGATATAGGGCAAATTAGAAGCCCAACAATTGCTCAGCCCAAGAGATTTCCAAAACCTACTATACAAATCAATAAAAAGGTACAGTTTCCAGACACACTTTGTCATTTAGCAGGCATTCTAATGACAAAGTGTGTCTGAATAAAAAAGAATTTGCATTTCATCCAAAAAGAAAGAGATGGAGGTGGCCTAGCCTCCTTTTGAAAGAATGCTTGCTCCACAGCTGCTTTACATTTAATTTAGCATGCTGGTTCCCAAAAGAAACCTCAGAAGAAAATGTAAAATATGGAATTGTTTTCAGTACTCAGTGAAGACGATGTTTGACCAAAACTAGTTCAGCACCTCGGATAGCTCCTTTAAATTTATTTTAAAAATCATTTCTCCACCTGAAAAACAACAGAAAACCGAGGGTTTTGTGGCTTCAAATTTTGAATGATTTTACATTTCTAAATGTTCTACTGAACTTTTGTTTTAGAACTGCAGGAACAGTGTTCAACAAACAAATACATTATTAAAACCACCCCAGATAAACTGACATACATGGCTGAAATCTTTGTTTATAATAACAGAAAAAAATCTCTTCCATAATTTTAATATTTCAAAACACTAAATCCAGAAAATTGAACTGTGATTAACCTGGGTATATGGGTTCTTCACACATTGCTTGATTCTTCTTAAAAATAATTGCACATAAAATAAATAAATAATATAACATGTACACGAAATGTTGACTTAAAAATAAAAACTAACAATTTAGTTTAAGCTATATTTAGTAGGGCTGTGCAAAATATTCATTGTGTCATGAGTCAGATCTAATTAGTTAAATTTCTACATATGGCGCGATACACAATGTGTGAGCGTTGCCCATGCCAAAAATTTAAGAATCAAAACTTTCACCTGGTATTTTTTTGTAAATTGTGTAAATGTCGCAACTCTCTGTGATGTAGTCTTAATTCACAGAACAACCAAGCACTACCGGGAGGCGAAATCAAATGCGTTGCAATGCCTCTCAGCCAATCAGGGCTGGGGGGGGGGGGTGGACGCAGTGCTGTGGCCATTGCTCTTTAAATTCCCAAGCACCACGCTGAAGCCTTCATTTGAGATTGGGCAATGAAAGGGAAAAGATGTTTGTGTTGGGTTCAGTTTAGCTTTGCAGGCAGGCAGGATAGTATTATAGGCAGGCACTGTGCCAGAGAGAGAGAAGGAAGGAGACTAGCTTACTAAGTTTTAGCTTCTTTAGCTGAAGCTGACTCAAATCTGCACTGGAGAAAAAAGACAGAAGGTTTGCATGCTGTAGGCTAGGCACTGGCAGGCACTGCTTGCTTGCTTTGCTTATTCTTTTTTGGGGTGGGTGGGCACCTTTTGCATTAAAATTGTTTTATCTTTTTGCTGCATTTTAGAAAATGTTTTGGGGGCTACTGGGCTGCTGAGTGCACTGTTGACCTATTTGTGTGCATTGGCAGGCAACCACCACCACACAAGAAGTTGTTTCAGTCAGGCACATCTATGTAATCATGAAGCCAACAGGAAACTGAAGGTTACCTGCAAAGGCCAAGACCTAGAACACTGTTCCCACCCTAAATATTTTGGCATCACCTTAGACCGAATGCTAACATTTAGGAAACACTGTGTAAACACTAAGCACAAAGTAGTTGCACGCAATAACATCCTCTGGAAACTTACGAATAGTGCATGGGGTGCAGACCCAAAATTAATAAGAACATCAGTCCTGGCCTTGTCTTACTCAACTGCTGCATAAATCTGCCCATTCAAAGCAGGTGAATATAGCACTAAATGAGACATGTCGAATAATCACAGAATGTCTCAAAACTACACCTGTTGATAGACTCTATAAGCTAGTTGGCTTTGCCCCCCCCCCCCCCCCCGGATGTGCGATGAGAAGTTGTTGCCAATTGTGAGAGAAGTAAGGTTGAGCACTGTGAAAGCCATCCACTATATGGCTATCAGCCTTCTCCCAGTAGACTTAAATCAATGAAAAGTTTCATGAGAACCACCATTTCCTCTAATTGTTCCACCAGCAACAGCAAGACTATCCCTGTGGGCAGCAAAATCAGGCAATTCCAACTGGATGAGTAGTGATACTTTTTTCATCAATCGCATAGGCCTAATATTTAAGTTCTACCTGTCTCTTTCATTCAAATCCATAACAGTATATCTGATTCTTCAGTGCTAACAGGGCAATATATTTCTCCCCACCTTCCATTTTCCCTAAATAGCAGAATTGCACTGAGAGGAAGGGATTCTGCATATAGGATATGCTAAATTATTCCTGCTTGAAAGTACTTTTCCTTGTGCTGTTGTGAACATGCTTGAGCTTTAGGGCATACATTTTCAAAGTACAGGAATAAGATAACAAAGACAATGTTTATTTTTTTAAAACCAAGTCAAATCTGCTCTTCTGTGGCTCCCAAATAATATAACAGAGAGAATGTGTCAACCAGGCATGTAGTTGGGGGGGGGGGGGGCTTGAGGGGCTTCAGCCCCCCCCCCCGAAATTCTCATGGTGGTTCACGAAAAGGCCTTACTTTAAACTGTTATGTTTATTCATATCATGATCTGATCACCATACTCTATATATCCCATATGCATGGGGGTATTGGGGTAATGATACAAAAGGTTTGTTAGGGCAGACCCTCTTTCACTCAGACTCACCCCCCCCCCCCAAATCAAAATCCTGGCTACGGGCCCAGTGTCAACTGTTATTTTATGAAAAAGGGATTATGCAGGAGAAACAGAAGTTATAATGTATTGACAATGCCTAGAGAGAATGCCTCTAGGACATAGCCATATAGCCCGAAAAAACCTACAACAACCCAGAATTTTTAATTTTGGTCAAAGACACAGAGGATGTTCCCATTCAGAATTCACAGCTTCCTATCCACAATTTGGTACATTACTAATTTCAAGTCCCATTATATACAATGGCATATTAAATGTGGTCCCTTACAAAACAAATGTCAAAAACAAGATTTGCTTTTGGAGGAGGATGTTTTCAACCTGTGGATGATTAGAACAATGGCTGCAGAAGCTGTGGACATGAAGGGATCAACTGTATTGAAAAAAGGTGTAGAAGGATTAGGACAGGGCATTTTTCTTTATTAGTGCAATCCATCAAATGACCAGTTGTAACCATTTATGCTATTGGCATTTTAAATGAAGAAAACATGGTAGAAGCATATATGCAACTAACAAAACACAAAATATGGCTAAATCAACATTTCTTCTTGGATTTCATAGAAGCAGGTCCTTTTCATTACTGGCAATGTAGCACACTATTTCTTTTCTGTTATACATGATCATACAGTTGGAGCTTTTCCCGTTATTTTCTAATCACTGTCTTTACCTTTCTGTCTTTGTGGTAGTTGAGCACTAAACTGTCCTTTTATTTCCAAGCAAGGTCACGGTACACAACATCCAACCCAACATACTTCATGCTGGGATAAAGAGGAAGGCAGAAATGTTAAAACAATAATGGCTATGGTCTGAGGCCTACAACCAGCAATCATGACTGAGCTTTGAAAAGGCTGTTTCCCGGGAGATAACTTGAAGAAAATAGGCTTGTTTTGTGTCTCTCTCCCTCCCCTCCCTCACTGAGAAACCAGGGATAGGCATGTGACTCTGCATGCTTGGGAATTCTAAAAAAAAAATTATTAGGATACTCATGAAATGGTTTGTGGTTGCATCACTACTGAGCAAACCCTTAGACTTGAGTTTAGATTTACTGTAATGCTGTCCACTGGTTTGATGATGATGATGATGATGATGATGATGCAACAAAAAAGTGCAAAACAACAGCTTAGAATGCAGCAACAAATAGATATGTAGCACAGCTAAAAGCATGAAATTCAATTTAAAATACACAGTCGGTTAAAAGGCATTTACATCAGTTTTACAAAGTATACAT